ATTAGTGAGACTTGTATGGGAAAAACTCTTGCCGATCGCCACCAGTCACGATTAAATAGTTTTCCATACAAATCCTTGTAAAATCCTGTCCTAAAATCTTTCCCTTACGCATTACGGGGTTCTTTTGCTCATAACAGAAATTTTGAGCCTCTAATGATTAGGGAAAACTGAGATTTTACGATTTGTATGGCAAGAGAAATCCTTCTAATTTTCGGCTGGCAGTTCCCTTTGCTCAGGCGGCTTTTAAAATACCTAATTTTTATATGCTAATTCATCTCCTGCTGAAAAAAATTGTCCGAAAAGAACTGTTTTCATGTAAGCAGAAAGTTCCCCACGTGCCTGACTATATCGCAAAAATCGGCAAACAAAGCGAGCCGAGCAAAGAACTGAGGAGCGGGAATATGCTGTGGGACAGTCGCTTCCCCGACCCTTCTCGAACTCCAGCTCGTTTCGCCTTTAATTTTCCTTCGCGCTCTCCGCTTTCTTCGCTTTTTCCCCCACTAAAGAGCCTGGTCTCAGGCTATTAACCGTACCTGACGAAATAGTACAGTCACAATCAATTGCGATTAATCTCCACTCAGGTGGCTAGGATTTGATATCCTTTGTGGCCCTAAAGCAAATCTTTAGGCTGGCCAAGAATTAACTGGTGGCCCAGGGAATTAAAAACCATCTGCGCTTGATTATATTTCAGAACAGAGCAGACAAAGGAAACAGAGAAATGCATTTTAAGACATTGAGACTAGGTAAATATTTCAATCAACTGCCCTGACTACAATGACCGGCTGAAACGAAGGGTTTAGGACGTTTAGGCGGGATTTACAAGTTACCGAATCAGAAATCATACTTCTAAGCAAGTCAAGTAATATCGTCATGAATTTGAAGTTCAACCAAAATCATTTTTCAGCGTCACAATACCACTTTCCATAGAGGGTAGAGAGTGCCCTCTCTTATCCACTCTGGGTCGGCTTCAAGATGTGAGGGAGAGAGAGGGGAGAGAGAGAGAGTAATACGTGTTTCTTTTCTTTCTAAATCCGAAAGCCAAGAATTATTAAATTGTATTAAATTTTAAATTGTATTCAACTTGTGATCGTTTCAGCCACGTTTCATGACTGCAGCGATCGCCTTTGCTTTTAATTTATTCAATATCTAAATGTCGATATTTCCTTTGCATCAGTGACTTTGCTGTATCTTATGTCGATAATCCCTTTGGTCCCTTTGCTTCAGTGACTTCGCTGTTAATATAGCAACAACCCAATATCCTTACATAACCTGTGCTTATTTATCGTTTCTTCAGGTGCGAATAAAGGTATTTTTGAGGCTATACAAGAAGTTTCGCTTTTATTATTAGCAGTTAAAATATATTTCTTACACATCAGGCTGACAAAACAGATAGCGTTATCCTACTTCAGGTGCCGGTTTCCAATTCTATTTGCCGATACTGGAGAAAGCTGATCCACTGATTCGCCAGCGAAGCAGAAAACTATGTGAAGCGCGATCGATACAAATTTTTTACCTGAAACGAAAGCACAAGATTAGTTTCCGACCAATAAAAACATTGCAGGCCATCGCACACTATACTTAATTGCTATATATTCTCCCTGGCTGCCATTCACTTTTTGAGAGTCTATCCACAACTTTGTATAAGGAACAACCCTGCTTTAAAGGACGGATTACCTTGCTTCAGTTTCTGGTGAGCCGTTTAAGAATATTCTAATTCACTCGTCTTTAAACTCTCTTTACTGTTCTACGTATCATTTCATTTCTCGCCAACGAACTACATTTTTAGTTACGTATCGTATAGGAATTATCCACTTCTTAAATCATTGTACCAGCCTCTTTATGCACTTCTACTTGCCGCAGCAGGTCAGCACAGTCATGAACTCGACTTTAGGGAGGCAAAATTTCTATCGTTTGAATTCTATTTTCATCCTCTGTTTTGTACTGAATGATACCCTTCCACGGTCTGGAAAGGGCGCCATAAAATTTGGAAACTTAAGAAACAAACGTTTGTAAAATTCGGCGACTTTTTGCATTATATCTTCGTTATTTTTCTACAGATCATGTTCAAAGTTGTCATCTTTACTAATTCTCGTTATTTTTCAGATTCTTTTTAGCCGTGTTGACGGATTTTCGCTAACTGGTCCTACTCAAAAGTTGAAAAAAAAAATAATGAAAATAAGAATCTTTATGGAGATAACGTTTTCATACAAAGTAGTTTTCAAATACGATCTCATAAGGTTAAAAACTCTTGACAAAGTACACACAATCAACCATATTGTTGGTCTGAGAACAAAAGCGGTTCTCTTCTTTGGGAATTAAACTCCTTTTTCGTGCAAATTCTTTAAGAAATAATTCTATTGTATTGACCACCAACATGGCGGCCTAGTCACGTGGTCGCAAACTAAGATGTACTCTTTATCCCTCTTGAGTCAATGTGCGTGTTTTCACTTTTCTTGGAGGAAAATTCTGGTACAAAGTAAATTCAAAAGCAGCCGTGTTCTACTATATGACAGTCAGATTTTCATTTTTTTCCACCCCGGTTATGCTAAACTTCTTTAAAACCAGAATTATTAGTCGAGAAGTTGCGCTTTTATATATCGATGATCCCAATGACCGCTTTTGACTACTAAACGCAATGTGTCCATGAATATTTACGATAGGTCTTGAATTGCCATCACACGACTTAGTTATGTAGTTATCCTGTGTAAACTGTATTTACATAACATTTTGCCCTCTGCAGTCCGACGTTTTAAGAGTAAGAGAATCTTTGTCAATCCCACAATTGTTTTGACTGAAACAATTACTTTTTTTTTCTTCAAGATATTTCAAGTTTGGCTTGCACACATCTTGGTACGCATCGTAGAAAGGTAAGTGGCAAATCCTTTGAATCTTGAAACGTAAATCGACGTGTATGTTTTTTTTTTCTTTTTAAAGTTCATTAAGGCCGTAACTGATCATATATATCTAGCCGATGTTTTGAAAACCAACCAAACGAAGTTTGCAGTCGTTTGAGTAAAAAAGCATCAAAAGGCACGTTTCTTGAGCCCGAGAAGCTCCAAAATCACAGTAACGAAGGAAAAAGGAATAAAAGAAAGAGCGAGGAGAAGGAAAGGAGGAGAAGAGAAAAAAAAAGCAATCGTTGCACTCTTGGTTTTATAATAGCTACTTTAGAGATAGTTTTTGGCCGAAAAAAACTGTTCGACGCAAAAGGTCCATTTGGCGATAACATTATCAAAAATCCGGCTAGATATAGTTAAAGGACGATCTCCACAAGATGGTTAAAGTCTTCTTATTCTTCATGATTCTTGAGCGATTTCAGATTTTTCGTTCGAAGGTTCCATGGTTCGATGGTTCAATCAATCTGTGACTGCAGCGCTGTGCAGTCAGCGGTTTCTTAAGCAAGTGCTTAGCTGCCGCGCCTGTTTTTCTCTTAGGAGCAACCCGCCATTTTGTTTTGCTCTCATGTAAGATCTGTGCAGAAATCGTAGTTTATCGGATGTTTGCTGTCTTTTTAAACGGCCTAAACGGTAAGAACAGTTCAAGAAGTATTGTACGGAACATTTTTGCGGTTTATTTTTTTTATTCTAGGTTTCAAGATTAGTTATAGCGAGTATTCTTTTGTCACACAGATTGTTATCTCGGGAATCAGGATTGTAAGTTACATAAGTGAACGGCATGTGCTGTACATCTACCTGACCTTTGAATAAGCAAGTTTTGGCCTTTACGTTGTTCGCAACTCATCTCATCCTGTGTACGATGATTGTTCGATGAAGAAACAGCCTATCAGCACTGCTGTTGTTTTAGAATTTCGTGAATTATTAAAATGAATTACAAAATGGTATTGAAACCTTAGCGAGTTATATGAATGTAAGCATATTTGTCATCGTGATCGGTTCATTTTTTATATTACGCTCTGAGTGTTTCATAATGCCAACAAGTCTAAGTTATTGACTTTAATAAAAAAGAATTCATATGTTCAACTGTTCTACAAACTGTCTTTGTCCTGTTCGCATAGCAACTAACGGCAGCACTTCCCTTCTCAATGAGAACTTCTAGTTTATCATTTGATTTTTTTTCACTGATCTCGCAAATGGTAATTTTTATAAAATAATTTGACGACTCGATCTACTTCATTCCGCGGTTTTATTTTACGAAATTCATGTGTTCATTACTTCATCTTCATCTTTCCCGGGTATACTACGAAATAATTTAATGTCCAGCTCAAGATCCCAGTTGGCTTGCTGCGTCACTTAGTTAGACCCCTGCGCCGGTATCACAGAGGTCAGAGTTCGAATCCCGGCAAGCGTGATTTTCTTAGGCTTTGTTTTCGCAACTGCATGAGTTGCGTCTTTAATTGTAATGATCTTCTTTGCATTTATTTCGATTTACTTCGTTTTTATTGATTTACCAGTCTTGACTCGCGACCTACTGTTTCTTAAATTTAATCGCTTGTTCTCAGCTTATCTTGTTTTTAATTGGCTAACAAACTCTTTAAATTCAAACTCTACCTTGCCGTGAAGATTTTTAATTTAATTGCCACCGTAAATAAATTCCGCAGCTGTAACAAGGCTTCGCCGGATTGCTGGGTTGGGAAAACAATTAACGAACAAAGTTAACAATGGAACCTTTAGCCCTTAATAAAAAGAGCTGCGGCATACAGTGGTCCAGTGAAATAGAGTTTTTAGGGAGGTGCATGCGAGGGAATGCTGATAAATTTTAAAGCTGACGGATCAAATGCTACTGCTCCTTAGGCAAGAGCGAGTGACTCTCTTGACATCTGGAGTGCTCGCTCTCACGAAGGGCGAGCTAGTTTGTTTAGGTTTTGACACCCCGGGAAGCTTCACTGAACTTTTCTTTTCACCACAAAGATTAGCACGGTTATGTTTATTGAAGGAAGTTAAGCCAACTCCCGATCGATTGCGAGATGATAAACTTCTTTAGGTAACCGTTGATAACATGTTTCCACTACTATGGCATTCCCGCTAAAATGACTCGTAGTAGAATGAAAAGGCTTCCCCGATAAGTTTTTCCACCAAAATGACGCTGGTTCACGCACGCACACTACTTAGTATTGAGAATATCTTGTTCTCGTACAGCCATCCGCCTCTTTAGAATCTAAAGGTCTCTATTGACTCAATATCAACTCAGTTGTCATAGCTTGTCATAACTAAATCTTTCTGTTTTCACTTCCCCACTGACACAGCCCAAAGTTTCTTTTGAAACCAGCTCGTTCATTATTTTATGGATAGTTTGTTTTATTTCACATGTGCAGGTCATGAGAAGTATTTTTGCATGGGGATGTTTGGTGGCTGTCCTTTTTAGGCCTGGGTTATCGGACGTATACCTACATTGTCCACCAGGATCAAACAATCGACTGAACGATGCAAATCAAGATGTAAATTCCCACACAAGAGTCAGGCTGTTTGATTCACAGGTAGAACTGCATCTTTACGCAATAATTTATACATGTGTTCATCCCGTGTAAGGGAATCCGGACTTTGGAATTTAAGGTGCGATTCCTGAAAGGCTGATTAGGGCTTATCCAGGATTAAAATTTTGTTCCGTTTTTGTATTTTACCGTCCTAAATGTATGTATTGCTTAGAGCAACAATTTGCTTTATAATAACTGTATCTCGGAGGATTAAAGGCTCAACAGTATTTTGTAAGTTGGAGTTGCATGTTCTTAGACAAGAAAACCATGCTTAAAGTTGGGCTAAATCCCGGGTTAAACTTAACCATCTTTCGAGGAACCGGCTGGAAATTACTTATGTGGAATCCGGAATCCTCAGGGCTTCGGAATCCGGAATCCAAGTTCCACTGACAATCTAGAATCTGGAATCCGAAACCCATGGCATGGAATCTAGAATTCAAGATTGCAGTATTGGATTCCCTTACATGAACGTGTAAGGCCCGTTCTGGTCACATTTATTACTGACAACAAAATTACACCGCGACGCCAAATTTTTTGCCAGTGCAGCACTCATGATGGACCCTTTGTGTATTTTTGTCATCACTGCTGATCGAATGAACGTTACTTGTTTCAGCGTGTCAGAAGATACTGTCAAACCAGTAGCCTATTACCGGTCAAACCGCAGTTAATACGGACAATGAGAGGCCCATAGAATGTGTCGGTATTAAGAATGGTTAAATTTAGAGAAAATGTTTCGTTTTCCAGGGACAAAGCAAAACTGTCCGTAATAATGAAGTGTCCGGATTAAGCGGGTGTCTATACTAAGCGGGGTTTGACTGTAATTATTTTTAGCAACATTAATTAATACTTTTTTTATTCAAGTCTGGTTGTTTTATGATATAATTCTAAGAAAAAAATTTTCATTCATATCATGAATCATTTTTCACTGGTACAAAATCTGAAAGGAGTCAGTAGTCTGTGCGAAAGTTATGAGATTTTCTGGTCTGAGGAGATTACGAAGCGGTTTCAAGACTTGTACACACACAACTCGAACCCTTATTAAGCATGACATGCCTGCCCAAATGAACAGCCCCCTACCCACTATCTTGAGCGTATCTTGAGCGTCTACGTCCCGTAATACGCATGCTGGCTTGAAGAACGAAGACGCAGAGCCGGTTGGTCTCGAGGTACAAGAGCTTCACCGAATGCTAGTAAAAGAGAGCTCACGCGCGACACGCGCGAGCTGGGAAATTCGATTGATTTCTGTCATGGCATTCTATATGGGCTGGTGTAGTCACAAATATAATAATTGACCGCAAATGTAATAATACAGTCAAATACTATCCAAACCGTATACACTCGAAAGAGCACCTCCCTCAATTTAATTCGGACAACAGTAAGCACAGAGGCGAGCTTTAAAAAATCTAAAACACTATTCTATTGCATTTAAGCCGCGGAGCTCTTTCGAAAAATACATTATTCTACAAATGATTCATTTTTACGCTATTTCCGATCATTGTGACAAATAGACCTTTATACCGATACGGCGGCTATATTGAATTAATTCGATTTAAGGAGTATTATAGGATGCCCAGGGGGCATGAGCACATTTCGTTTGTATTTTCGAGCGCTTTTCGGGACATTTTTCTTAAAGTTTTCTTAGAATAAGATTGTAATGGTAAAAAAGATCCTTGTGCCGTGTTTGGATGTAATAATGATCGCCTTTTTCTAGTTTAGTATTAGAAACATGGTCTTTCACTGTAAATTTCTCCGGAAAAGGGCGATCATTATTACATCCAAACACGGCACAAGGATCCTTTTTCCCATTAGAATCTTATTCTAAGAAAACTTTACGAAAAAATGTCCCGAAAAGCGCTCGAAGATACAAACGAAATGTGCTCATGCCCCTGGGCATCCTATAATATTCCTTAAATTGAATTAATTCAATATGGCCGCCGTATCGGTTAAACGGTCTATTGGTGAGCATGATTTTTTAATGAACAAGACGCCTAAAGTCGTTTCCGTGGGATGCGTTGGCCATGGAAGCATAATGGCGTTCCATCTGAATTTGGAAAAATTAGGGAAACCGGAAAGATGTGTCACGTTATGAGCACGCAGTCTACTATTTCTCCCTAATCCACATCCCCTTCTTGCTTCCTCCCTATCCCCTTCCACTTTCGACACCTGCTACGCAAGCTAAATTTATAGTTGTCGGTGGTCGCAAGGATGGAGTTGATCTTGTTTTGATCTATCGCTATGTAGTTATTTTCGTAGCACGATTGGATAAAAAAAGAAGTTATTTTGCATCAAAACAAGGTTTACCCGTGTAACTTAAATTGGAATGTTGACGGAAACAAGTAATGGAAAACATGCGCATAATGCTCTCTGATTAACCTGAACAGGAACTACATGTATAAAGATAGGTCATATCTTGGTAGTAAGTTGCCACAGGTAACTTTTTCAAAGAGAAATAAACATTGTAGTTTTAGGTTAATGGAACAAGCCAAAACAAAACATCCGCTTGCTTTATCCAGGTTGAACCCAGGGTTACAAAGTTCGATAAAATTCCAATATTTTAATCCAAGATGAAAGTTTAATATTCCAAGATGCTCTTGATACGGTTAAAAATTAATTGCAACGTGTTTCCAAGGTCTCAAAGTTAACATAGTTGTCATAGTTCCAATGATTATCCCTGATCCCAAGGAAAAATAAGTTTCCTAAGGTCCTGATCCGTGTCCCATCCAGAAGTCCAATCCATACCAAAAGCGAGTCGTCGATCGACGAGGACAATATTTTCGCAATTTCAACGGCAATCGACAAGGGTACGAGTTGAAATTTAGGCGATTTAACCTCCCATCGTCAAGGTGTTTTCGATAAAAAAAGAAAAAAACTGAACTCTAGCTGTGCTCGGCAAAAACTGACGAACCCCGATCGGAAATCATGGCCCGCGACCAGACGCTACTAAAACCTTATGAATAAGCTACACCGAAATAAAAAAGAATCATGAAGGGAAGAAATAATTTGGCTTAGGTCGCCTTTCGTGACTTGCCAGTATCTCGAAGGATTTCGCTAGTTAACAAGCCATCCTAAACCACGTGTGGAAAAACTCAAGGGCGACAAATTTGGCAAGGAACGTTCTGATTTCGACTTTCTTCAGAGGAAGCAAATCGATTAAAAATCGATACAGATTTTGTACAATCTGATTGGTGGGCTCGGAAGAAGAGATAATCGATAAAGATTTTAGGCAATCCTATTGGCTGGCTCTGCAATTTTGGGTACAACCGAACCGGATTTTTACCGTGGGAGTGCCACAGGCATCCCACGGAATGAAGTTTAATTATTAAACTTACATCAATATGCTTGAAGCTCATATCGGCAACGACAATTAATATTTTCGGCTCCTGACATATTAAAAGGTTCGAGAAACAAAAATTAATAAGCGCTGCTGTATTGCTGTAAAGTACGGCTCTCTCGCTTAAAACTTGCGATGGGTTGAATGCGGGAGAAAGATATGCTTATTCTAGCCAAATTACAGTAGATTAAAAAGGTAAAACGTGAAAAAACTAGATACATATATCTGACATAAAATATCATAAAAAGTTGTATTTAAAAGTTAATCTATTTACAAGTGTGTTCTTACGTGTATAACGTTCGGTGTTTATCTTGGGCCTTTGGCAGCCTTTCATCTGAGGTTGTAGATTAAATTGTTCTTTTCTTGCGGTAAGCAAACCTTCAGGGGGTGGTTATCACGCTGTTTAACTTTTTCAAAAATCGCTTTATCTTGGTTAAACTGAGTAGCCGCATAAAGCGCATCCTCGTAGACCCAGGGGCGGTCAGTGGGGCCGGGAGAAAAGGCGTGACTCTCAAAAAATTATTACAAAGTGCGATGGAATTACTACAAATTGCGACAGCTTAGTTGCTTATTGCTTTTCGAATTAAAACATACCAAGTTTATTTGAAGTGGCGCGTTTTTGAGTAAATGCAATAGGATATTGTTTTCGAAAGAGCGCCGCGGCGCTTATGTTTGCCCGGCTTATTTTGAAGGCGGCGTTCTGTCGGGTATATAAGGGTTGGAGAGCATTTGCCGGTTTTATTACATTTATGGTCAATTTGTACTACATTTAAGTGCATTGCTGGCCAATTATTAATACATTTGTGGGCTTTATTACATTTGTGGCTTCATTGGCCATCTCACGTCTTTGCCACAGATCCATCTCCAATGTTAACAATATAATGTTAAAAATCAAGAATTACTGCCGATATATAAAAACAACCAATATCTCGTGAAGAAATCGAGCGGGAAGGCACTCGAGCCAGTCCTCGTCAATAGCAAGGCCTACAAGTATTATAGGCCAAAAAATAATAAATACCAGACTTAAATAACAAAATTAATTCTTGTTGCTGAAATAATTGCTAACGCTGAACAAGTATTGTTCAGCGATGAGAAAAATTACACAACGGGTCCATAGAAAGTGCTGCTCTGGCAAAAAATATTGTCTTGCCGTGCGATTTTATTGGAATAAATTTGACCAGAACGGGCCTCCCCAAGAGTTCTAGTCCGGGATAGTCTCGTACAAACCATGGCATGCA